TCAAGATAACCTAATTAACACTTTCAGCACAAAAGTCTGAGACCACTTTCATGTGAGTACACACAGGACTTTGTGTATATTCTTGCAAGCCAGAAAGGTACATGCATGAAAGTTCACAAAAAAACAAATTAAAGTCTGGAACGCTGGTCAAACTCAGCTAGTGATATGCATTAAATGGATGTTTGTACCTCAGTATGTGGCCAACTGCCACAGCCCCTTGGAGATTGTCCTACATTCCCCTTCCCCATACACTCCTCAGAAAATACCTCCCTGGATCTAGCTCTCAACCTCTCACCATTCTCTTCTGGGCCACTTGAGTGTCTGCTGCACAGAAAGAAACACACTCACTCGGGTGTCACTAAAATGTTTAATTTTAAAATTCGTGGATGCGGGTGTTTGAGCTGGCATGGGAGGTGATGGACTGCTGATTTGAAGGTAGGGTCAAAGCAGAGGGTGGGAGCTGCAGGCAAGGGGGAATGCAGGTGTAAAAAGCAGTGGGTGGGTAAGAGGAGACTAGCAGCTGAGAAATACAGTTCTGTGGGTCCATCTACTTACACCTCTAACACTCCATACGTACGACTAAAGCAATGAAAAGAATAATAAAGTTAGCGTCGCATGGATGATGACTAGAATTATTATTCCCCAAAGTCTTACTGTGAGCTTGAATTCTGAAAGATGAAATCATAATGTTGGCCAAATGCAAATTGGAGGAGGGGTAAATTATTTATTTATTTATTCATTTATGACAAACTGTAATGCATAAATCTTTGGCCAGCTAGTAACTAACCTGTATGGGTCCTTAGATGAGCTTTGAGATGGGAAGATTTGCCATAAACTTTTTCACACCCCACGTAGTGGCATTTGTGCTTTTTCTGGGGTGACTCAGGGTCAGCCCGGTTTCTTCCCCGTCTGCTCCTTTGTTTAGGGCTTGGCTCACTTACTGCAGCCAGGCTAGTAGGTGTGGCTGTTTTTCCTTCTCCACGCTTGTCGGCTGGGGAGACACTTTCCTCACCAAACTCTTGAGGAGGAAAAGGACTTAGTTTTTCCCTGTTATCGATGCTGTCTATTTTTTCCATCCGAATGGCAGCGGAGTTCGGGACGTGCTGGTTGAGATCTGCTAAAATGCTGGCCACCACAAAGAGCGACGATCCATTGTCTTTCCCGGTCTCTTTTACTTCCCACTTTTTTTCTCCATTGGAGAGAGGAGGAGGTGCTGCTGCATCAGGTCGGGGATCTGCGTCCCCTTTGGGACTGTGGATAATAGCACGACTGGACATAGAAACAAGGCACTCGGCTGCAAAATGATCCACGTATGCTGCTGTTGCCATTTTTCATAGGTGTTCCAAAAAATTGCACTTTTTCCCCTTTAAAAAAATTATAGAAGCAGACTTTTCTCCTCCTGTTTCTTAGGATCCCTTTGTAGAAGCGAGGTCTGAATAAGCTGCTATCATAAATGCACTCTGTTCGTGAAGACTGCACTCGGCTTGTCACTAAAGAGAAAAAGCATTTAAAGTCCAGTGAAGGGGGGAAAGGAGAGAAAATCCTAAGTATGGCAGCTTGTTGCTTGAAGTAAGAATTAACGTTGATCTTCTAGAGTGCCATGAAATAACAAAAATGTAGTTTCTCTAACCCTTCCATTGCATTGTGACAGTAGAATAAGCTTTCCCCGTTATTGCTTCTCCGAGTGTTTCAGAGCCCCATGGGGGCGTGGCCTGGAAAAACATCTGGGTGTGACGACACAGAGAAGCCACATCCTGGGTTGATCAGGTTAGCAATGAACATAGACTTCAGCTGCTGCTGCTGCTGAGCTGAGAGAGAGGGGGGAAAAACAGCGACGTGCAGACACAGAGATGTGGCCGTGAGCTTGGAGTCAGCAAGGGAATAAATGCAGGCAAATGAAACAAATAATGTGATTGGCCTGTGTAACACTTTCTGTGGGCCAATCAAAGTGCCAAGGTGGAAACCTCCACATTTGCAAATTTCCAGGAGCCAATTAAATTCCTCTTAACTTATGACCCAGCAGGAGGCAGAAATTCAAGATAATCTTTGGCTCCTTTCTGTGAAATCCTTGCAGAAACAAGCTCATTGATTCTGGGTATATTTTATAGGATACAGACAAGTAATCGGCTGGTGAACCGAACACACACGCACTCTTTCTCTCTCCCTCCACCCCTCTCTCACGCTCCATGAACTTTAGTTTTCAGGATTGTGCAATGATCAACCACGTCATTGTTTTTGAATGTTGTTCTTTCTGTAGTTCCTTAACAACTGCAGGGCATGGTATATTTAACCTTTTATTAGCTGAGGCAATTTTATAGGCATTGAAGTCTAAAAGGCAGGAATTAAACTCTGTTATGTGAACCTGACACAACTAGCATAGGGAAAGCTTTACAAAGTATCAGGATATAGATAAAAAACTGCAATTCGGATTTGGAACTAGATGGTTTTGTTCAGTCAAAACCCAGCTTTAATTAAACACAAAAGAACACTGTTTAAAACACCACCTATCTAGGCCCAATAAACAATAGCACCTTTTCTAGCTATTTAAAATTAATGGCAATAACTTTTTTTATTCCTTAACTGTAGGATAAATAGTTAATGTGCGAATGAATGAATGAGTGGGCATGATGTGTTTGTGTGAAGAAATTATTGAGGGGAAGTTTAATCAAAAGAGTCGGTTTAAATTTAATTCTGAAATGGCCACTTGTGTGGTCCCATTCCATTCATGGGCCAATCCAGTTCCTACAAAAGACTCGTCTCGCAGGAGCTTTTTGTCACCCTTTTTCCAGGAGGAAGGTCTTGTAGGTTAAGTGTGTCAGAAAAGTTAGGGTGAGGACAGGCAAAAGCATTTCTATTGGAAAAATTTGACTTTTCATCAAAAACTATTAGCCAAAGACATCCACGTTTGTCAGAGAGAATCAAAAGACAATGTTCCTAAGGTTGATTTAACTACACTGAACTACTGTCTTATCAAACCAAATCACGTTTCAGAGCAGCTCAACCTTAAACATAGCCCTAGCACCTCGTGGGAATTGCAATTTGGGTGCCTCGTGCTTTTCTCTCCCTTAAGGGACGGGCTCTCTGGCTGGACTAGATCTCACATAATCACCCATTGTCTCCACTCTCTCTGCCCCCAGAGAATTTTGGAGCAGACATAATCCCACCAGAGAGCCCAGTCCATAGACCAGAATTGGAGGCAGCATATGAGGTACCTTAGCGGCTCAGCAAAATATGGCAAAATATCAAGTTGGGCCAAAACATTTTGATTCGGGAGTCTCAATGTTTTGTTTTGATCAAACATGTTCAAACAAAGAGTTTAATCATTTCCTAATTGAAAGTGTGGGGTTTTGTGGCTACGTTGACATTTTCTGCAGAAAGCAGAGAGTTTTCAGAAATAATTTTGTTTCCTCAAAAACTCACTTTTCCTGGAAGCATTTGTCAGTGGGTCTTTGCCCACGAAAGCTTATGCTCCAATAAATCTCTTAGTCTCTAAGGGTATGGCTACAGTAGCCCCCTAGTTCGAACTAGAGAGGCTAATGTAGGCATTCGAAGTTGCAAATGAAGCCTGGGATTTAAATATCCCGGGCTTTATTTGCATCTTCCCGACGGGGTGCCATTTTTAAATCCCCTTAGTCCAAACTAACCGCCCACGGCTACACGTGGCAGTCAAACATTAACTCGAACTAAGGACTAGGGGGCTAGTGTAGACATACCCTAAGATGCCACAGGACTTCCCGTTGTTTATGCAGATTCAGACTAACACGGCTACCCCTCTGATATTTGTCACTTTTCCTTGGAAAAACAGTTCTGATGGATAGTTTCCAACCAGTTCCACTTAAAGACCAGTATCCCATTTGTGGCAGAAATCCAATATTACAGTCATATTTACAAAACATATAAAAAATGGCACACACTCACCACTGTTTTGAAGTATGTCTCATGGTGCTATCTCAAGATGTAGATGCCTATAAGTCTCTTTCAGGACTTCACATAAAACTTGTCTTTACAGGGAAATTTACTGGCATAACTAGATCTGTATAATTGTCTCTGTGTACACCAGTATAACTTCCAGTGCAGGCACACGTATTCCAGAAGAGGAGTCGTTTTCTGTTTATGACCTTGGAAGCTAACAGTAAGTAAAAATAAATATATCAATCTAAAACCCAGTAAGTTTCCCCATGTAGACAAGTCCTCAGACAGTTCCAAATGTGTCCCCTTTCTCACCTCTCAGTTCCTGTACTTCACACCAGGAAAACCCCTTGTCCAAAGCATTCCAAACTTCATGGTCTTTTGTCTGTCTTGGTCAATGTCCTGGCTGTTAATCCTTCTTGAGTGTAGATGCTTTGTAACACAAATGAAGCAGGAAAGGGGGTAATGGCCCTGACAGGCTCACATAAATAATCCTTAGTGGTTCTCCTAATGCATAACACCTTTCATTCTTTTTTGGAGGGTTTCACCTTAGGTATTTAAACTTTAATGGCCCTAGATGTACATGACACTATCCCCTTTTTGCCATAACACTGCCCTAATACAGGGAATATCTCGGGGCATCTAAAATCCTAGAGAAAGTGATGCCTCAGATTTGTGTTCTGGGGAGCGTTGAAAACTCAGAAAGCAATGAGGAGGTGAGTTTGGGCATTGATTCTCTCAGGACACACAGTCACACCTGCTAACACTGCCCAAAAACAAATAGAACACTCATTTATATAAATATGCACAGTCGACTTAATTCTACTCCACCCCAAGCTTGCCCCTCTCCCCTCACCAATTTGTTGCACCCATTCTAAGCACAACTAGGGTAACAAAGCCTTCCAACCCAAATTGATTCTGCATGTATTAAAACAGCCAACACACTTAATCCTGCCCCACCACAAACATACAGACTTTTGGATTCTGCCCTCCCAGAAATACAATCAACACGTCCCTCTGTATTTAACCCTGCCCTACCCCCAAACAAAAACACCCCACAGAGATAAACAAATTCCTCCCACACATTTGATTCCACTACCTTTTGTTGATTCTGTGTCTGTTGCCTTTGTCCCATGCCAGGTCACAGCTCTGCCTACACTGCTGGCCTCTTCTTCCATGAAAAAAGCAGCTGGTAGAATGGAAAAGGGCCCACCCTGCAAGTTCTTCATCTTCTCATTCTCCAAACTTGGCAGGGGGAGTAATTTCAGCCTTACTGCCTGCTTAGGGGGTGGGCTAAGCCCTGGGAGCTGCAGAGCTCTGCTGGCATCAAGTTTCTTTTTCCCACCCAGATCAGCTTTAGTGCTGGAGAGCCTATGTTTTCATGGGGGCACAAGCTGTCCGTCAGCAGCTAGGGCAGCTCTGATTGGCTAGTTTGGCCCAGGAAATAGGGGAAATAAGGAAAGGCAGCCAATCAGACAGGGCTTTCCATATAGTCTGAGGCCTTTGCCTGCAAACTATAGAAGGGTTGGAAAATCTCTCTTGGGGTGGGGGGCTTAGCAGGTGTCTTCTGAGTTTAGCATCCATCCCCCCTGCTTCCCTTCCTGGTTGGTCATTCAAAAGCAATAACACAGCTCTTGTTCTCCCTGAGGCTTGCTGCCCCTAGTGTTCCCTTACAAGGCCTATGGCTACACAGAGGGTAGCTCAGCGACATGCAACCCACTTGACTGACAACAAGGACCAATAATTTCTAATCCAAGCTCTGACGCTAACTTGCGCTGGCTTTAGTCAGGTCTCTTCACCCTTCTGTCTTTGTTTCTTCATCCATAAAAGAAGACCAATAGTAATCCCTGCCTGACCACAAAGGACAGTGGTGGCAGCCTGAGGGCCACAAGCAAGGCATTGGGATCCATGTGTGGTCTACGAGACATTGTTTGCCATTGCCTACCCTGCCAGATTTTGCTGGTTTCCATCTGTGCACCGTTTTTCCTATTGCTATTACTAAAGTGACAGGCACTCACAGGAACATCCTTACAAATGATGGGCAGTGGACTCCCTGCTCCCTGCGGCTTCTGCTGGAGAGCCTGAGTCTTCCACCCCCCCCATGAGGCTTCCCCTGTCCCCATGCAGGGGGTGGAAGGGAGAGGAGGAATAGAGAGAGGAAGGGGGGCAGGGAAAAGCCCTGCAGTGAACAGGAGAGAACAGCCTGGGGGAGGGGCCAGAGAGGAACAGGCAGAGGTGTCCAGGACTATCCTCAGGCATACTAGTATTCATGGCTGAGTAGGGACACCCAAGAATTTGGTGCCCAAATGCTTTGGCTGCTCCATGCCGCTACGTATTTCAGGCATACCTAAGGACGGCCCTGCACACACAGAGCAAGGGCGCATGAAGGGAGGTGCGTGCTGATTGTGCACGTTACCTGCGCACCCGGGGCTCTCTTGGCATCCAATCAAAGTGCTACTATAGCTCAGTCAGCACACCCAGAAAATTCTAAGGACACAAGCACAGTTAGCCAAGCTACACTATCCTGGAAGACCATCTTGGTTGCGACAATCTTGTGGCCCACTGAAATGAAGGAGGGCCAGACATGCTGCCTCAGTTGCCCATCACTGACATAGAGTGTTATCCCTAATCAGGTGAGCTGACAGACTTGCCGTGCCCCTGGGCAAGGCGTGGAGGGAGTGCTTTGTGTTCCCAGAGGGGCAGGGCTTTAGGAAGAAGGGGCGGGGCCAGGGCAGCCAGACTTCCAGTGCCACCTAAACTGTCCCCCCAACCCACCGGAGGGCCTCAAGCAGAGTGCCTGGGCCCCTTTGAATTGTTAGACCCCAGGGCAACTGCTTCCTTGCCCTTGCCCTGTCTGCAGGCCTGTCCCTAATGATCAGTGTCTGAAAGCATGACAGAAATATCACAGGAATGCACACAATCCATATGCACAAGGGAGTGGGGGAGAGGTTAGCAGCCCCCACAATACCAGTG